GGACGATATATGCACCAGACACTGGTATTGTACTTTATATAAATTATTTCATATTTTGTATATACAGTAATTTGCAACATGTATAATATTAGACCTTTCATTGACATTGGCATTGTCCATTGAGGGCTTTATTGAAGAATAATCCAGCTTCTTTAGACTTGCAAGTATAATGGATTAATGCCGCTGTGAGTTATCAATATTTAAATCAACTTTAATCTTTATCGTATACTGGAATCGACATTTTAGAAGTTTAGTCTGTTTTAGGCTACCAAACAATACTGGAGGCAAACAACCTATCTATCAATGGAAACTTTAAAAGGTTTGCTACAGTAAAACTCATTAATATAAGCGAGACTTCGTGTGCATATACAGTTTATGAATTATGTATGTCCCTGATAAAACGTAGGACACTTTTACCAGATATAATAAAAAATACTTTGCTAAACCTTTTCGGCTGTCATTCCTTTGCATTTAAGGGGAGAGGGTAAATGGCGATAGAATTTATAGGAGATGCTGTGCAATATTTTGGCTTCAACAAACAGGTACTCGTGCAGACAAAAAAGGAAATTCTTGCAGTTATGAATTGTCGTATGTCAGCTGTGCACTGTCGATTTCAAACAATTTTGTACGTTATATTTTGTCTTCCTGGTGTTTAATATAAACGATGATAGCCATTTAAAAAAAATCTAGAGCAATATGTCTATAAACAGTTTTAGAATCAATAGAATGGACATTCACAATGTGTATTTGGCTTGTGTCCAAATGTGTCACGTTTAAGACCGGCAAGGCGCTAATCCTACGACCTATAAACAGTCGCTTTCGAGACATCTATTTAACAAAATTTATACCATGTCCATATCAGAACAATTCATTGGCATATTATAAGCATATTATAAATATCAGAGCCACAACAGAAACGTATGCGTGAAATAAAACTACGCCCGAACCGGCGAACCCAGAGAAAATAAAAATATTTCAAAGCGTACAGTCATATGTTCTCGTTGCTTGATTTCCTGAATTTTCTGTTGCCATAAGAATCTGCATTTTAGCATGTTTGTATAATTTAAAAGCAAACTGAAACCAATTTAGCAAGTAGTTTGAGGTATATATGATTCTTGAAGATGAATTAATGATTGTACAGAACGGCCACTCCTTGCAATCGAAGTGCGGAAGTGGAAACATGTAATATGAGACTTTTCCAACCCCCCTCTTGGGCTATCAATTTTCAATGCGTCACGTGACCAGCTCCGACCAGGGTCTTTGCTTCCCAAGAGCAAATAGCCTGGGAACGAGGTTGGACATGCTTTGGCAAAACTTTGGCCACCTTACATTCATGACAGTCCTGCCTTAGCTTTGTGCCTTATTATGCAAAAATACAATTAATAAAAATTAATACTAAGTTAATTTATTTCCCCCTATTTTTTCTGGTTTAAATTAATGGTAGAAATAAATAAAATAATATCCAATATTAAGGGTATCTTAAGGTAAGACACTGAGTCACTCATCATTCATGGCATCATAATGTTGAGATAAATTTTATGCTGCATGTAAGAATAAGCCAGTCTTACACACAGGACATGCAGTGGAATATTATTTCAAATTAACATAATGAATTAGCAGTATATTGCTTTGGTTTCCTTCAATTAATATATTGTACATAAAATCTCACTGTCTTTAAGCTTTTGGATGAACTATACAAACAAGATCTTTATGCCGGCTAGGTCAATTTGGAGTGACCATTTTATGAGATCTTCAAAGAAACCTTATCAGTGAGTGACTGTTATTGCATATAGTTGAATTCAATTTAGCTCCATTGTGAGTTTTCTAAATTTATGTTTACAAATTATTTAATTATGAGAACAAATGGACTGCGGCCAACAAGAATGTGAATTTTTGAAAAGGTGTATATCTTCTAGTCTTCTTGCTTTCTGATACTTCATGATAAAGCAATGAACAGTCTATATTGGTATGGTTTGAATATATTGTATTATGAAATCTCACTTGCTATATATAAGCTTTTGAATGAACTATACAAACAAGATCTTTATGCTGGCTATAGGTCAATTTGGAGTGACCATTTTATGAGATATTTAAAGAAACCTTGTCTGTGAGTGACTGTTAAAGTTGAATTCAATTTAGCTGCATGGTGAGTTTTGCTAAATTTATGTTGAAACGGAGAATTTTTTTAATTATTAGAACAAATGGACTCCAGCCAACAGGAATATAATTTTTTGTAAAGGTTTATATCTTCAAGTCTTCTTGCTTTCTGATACTTCATGATAAAACAACGAAGAGTCTATATTGCTATGGTTTGAATAAATTTTCTAAGCATGACGAGAACAACCTGCAACCTACAGGATGCAAAATTTATGCACATGCATGTTTTTCATACAGTCTTCCTAAGCCAGTTTAATTGAGATGAGGAGTTTATATATTGATTTGGTATGACTATGTTGTATTAAATGTTAGGTACTTTATATTAGGTCTAGTATGCATGACCCTCAATCATATACACCTATATATATCTTCATATTTTATGATTGTGATCCTGGCTGCATTATATATTTGCTTTACTGTATGTTTGCATTTTTGCAATGTTTCGCTTCGATTTTGGTAACCTAAAGTTATAAAACTTGAAACTGACCATTACAAGTGTAACAATGACAATGTCAATGGTATTGACAATCTCATGTTAATGCATGCTATCGCCTGTTATTTTCTGGCAATGTACACTACATATAACGAATGTTTTCATAAGTAATACATAATATATATATAAAATCCATTTTTAATAAAATTGTACAACATGTCCCTGCAAGCAGTTGTTCATTCTTCAGTGTGTCCCAGTGGTCCCCACTTCGACCCCTGCTAAGATCTTCTATTCAAATTGACCAGAATAAATAATCCTCATCAAAAGTCCATGTACAGTACATGTACTCATCGTACGAAATGAAGCATAGCTAACCGTGCAAGTTTGCAACAAATGAATTCAGGTCTAGTTCGTGAAAAGTGTGGTTCCATATTCATCTGGTACGATGTAAACGTAGTCTGAGTTTAACATTTTGGTTCAATTCCGTTCTCTGAAACATTGTCAAAATAAGCAATGAAACAAAACACCGCGTCACAGGTTTACAATCCTGATTAAGGTGGCTCCCTACAATTTTTGAAATATGACAAAATCGTGATTTAGATTTAATTTTTTGAATTGAGGTTTCTTTTCAGAAGACAAAAATTGTACCACATATATTGAGCAATCGTCCAAGAGTTGAAAATTGTTTACAAAAATGATGTCGTTACCGTTGTTATATATGGTAACAATGACGTTTATGGCCGACATTTTACCTTTTAACACATTTTACTCGAAAAAGAGTAAACTTGAGTAAAGTACATTATAATGTGGCTTTATCAAGATTTAATTGTTTGTGTAAAGGCAACTAAAGGCGTATCATGATTAAAGATGTATTTAAACAAGTATTAAATGTCGATAAAGTGCGAACATACCTTTAAAGCCTTTAAACACAATTTTATACGTTTAAACATACCTTTAACAGATTTAACCTAATGTGTAAAGGTAAAAAAGGTATGGATTTCTTTAATCAACTTTAAAGATCACATATAAACTTGAGTAAGGTATGATGTGGCTTTATCAAGCTTTAATTGTTTTCGTAAAGGTAACTAAAGGCATATCATGATTAAAGATGTATTTAAACAAGTATTAAATGTCGATAAAGTTCGAACACACCTTTAATGCCTTTAAACACAGTTGTATACGTTTAAAGATACCTTTAGCAGATTTACTCAATTTGTAAAGGTCAAAAAAGGTATGGAGTTCGTCCTGTGGTAGAGCTCGCAAATATTCGGTCGTCCAACGCCTCCACATGGCGTCCTTACATTTCTGTAAAAACGTAGCTGGCTTCCTTAAATCTTTCTCTTCCAAGTGGTAGGGTGCTAGATCTGGTAGGATATTGGTGTTCACGAACAGCACGAGTTTGGAGTTAACGGCGGTAGTTGAATATCTTCCTCCATGTACGTCAGTGGTCGGTTGTTCAGGGTGATTTCTACGTCAAGAAGGACCTCGCTCAGCTCTTCCCATGAAAGTAATCCTTGCACCACTGTTTTATAGAATGCTGACTTCATTAGACCGATTAAACGCCCCACCATGGGGCGCGGCTGAGATTGAACTGCCAGGTTATCGAGTGTTCGCTGAGGAAATCGTTGAAACTCTCGTCACGTTGCGGAACTTTGCTAACCACTTAGCTGCGGCTACAAAGGTTTTACCATTGTCCGAATATACCTTGGAGGGTCTGCCTCTCCGAGCAATGAAACGCTTTAGACTTTGGATAAACTCACCAACTTCCAAGCTTTTCAAAAGCTCCAGGTACACCCCACGTGTCAAACTGCAAGAATATAATATATCATAAGCTTTCGCTTCGTTCCTACGGATCTTAAGATACTTAATAGGACCGGCTAAGTCCACACCAATTACGTCAAAGGGAGTGTCCCCTTCGGTTCTATCCTTCGGTAATAATCCAGCAAGTGGACTTCTGAGAGAGACAGTGTAGAGTCTCTTACATCCCCAACATTTCTTCAAAACTCGTTTGGCTAACCTTCGAAGTCGAGGTATCCAGAATTTTTCTCGAACCTTTGCCATAGTGAAACTGATTTCACAAGGCAATGTGGATTCATGAGCATATTCGACAACTTTCGCTGCGTACAATGTAGAGTCAGAAAGGTAAATCTGGCATTATCCTTGTAGAAATGCTGTGCTGAGTGGTTATATTACTACCTTAAAAAATAAGCAGAAACTCGACGTAAAAAATAAGCAGAAACTCGACGTTTCGAGCGAAGGCCCTTCGTCAAGAGTTAGTAGCGTCAAGAGTTAATAGTAGTACTACTAACTCTTGACGAAGCGCCTTCGCTCGAAACGTCGAGTTTCTGCTTATTTTTTAAGGTAGTAATATAACCACTCAGCACAGCATTTCTACATTGGTAATACCCACACTGGTACAGACAGTTTTAGTACATTATCCTTGTATACGTCCTTTGCACACCAGAACCTCCTCGGAATTTGATTACAAATGCAGCTGTGCCTTGTCTTCGAGGAATTCAACATCACTCATTCCCTTGTTTTGGGCTCTCTTGATCGAAAGTAATTCTTGATTATCGATCTCTTCTGTTGTCAAAGGTCCCTGAATCTTGTAGGAAGGGTGTCGAGAATTGTGCGTGAATCGCGAGACCCAAGCACCAACTCTCCTGGCTTTACTCAAGCCGAACTTTCCGAGGATATGATCAAGGTCATTACTTCCCTCAACCGCACCTGCGAAAAGCTCTTTTTGAACCTTCCTTTCTGCTCGACTCTCTGGACTGGATTGCGTCACAATGTTAGGAGGCCGTTTCTCTTGGTCGGCAAGTCAAGATGGATCCTTCCACCACAAGTGTACATCAGTCACGCTTCCGCCCCGACTGCCAAGATTTGCCGGATTTTCTCTAGTGGGAACATGTCGCCAGATAACATTTGGATGACTTTGTATCTTCCTTTCCCGATTGGCAACAAACTGTCGATACGGACTATCCAGTGGAGGGCGACAGTACTGTCCAACCAACACTGTATATTTGGATCCAGACTAAAACCGTTGAGGGATTCACGAACATTCGCAGCAAGGTTGACCGCCATGTGACCTGCCACAAGTTCTAAGCGTGGGATGGTCAGACCTTGTTTCGCGATACGAGACTTGGCTGTAATCAAACCTTGTGTTGTTCCTGACTCTTGCGTGACGACTGTGTACACTGCTGCGCTGATTCCCTTACCACTCGCGTCGCCGAAGCAAATTTTTTTTTTCCGTAGACAGTCGGACTTCTCATTGATAGTCGGACGCATCATTGATCCGCGTCCAGGCCACCGCGCGTTATCGATGGATCCCTTCGTACCCTGCGTAACCCACTGGTGCACCGTATATCCATCACTGATCTCCACGTTGTTCTTCTTCGACCACGTGTAGAAAGATGAACGATTTGCCAGTATAGTAAACTACAAACTTGTTTTTCTGGTTCCAAAAATACTCAAGAACTGTTATTGCGAGTTAAAACTGTATATCATCCCAATTGAAGAGAATCGCGATAAGATAACTAGCGTGCGAGGAAATAGTAGAAGATTCAAAGCGACCATCACGACCACTTTCCACAAATAGAAGTATTGCAGAATACCCTAGTTCCCTAGTAATATCATATCATGTAGCCCAGCCACTATTTCACTGGATACGTATATACCAGATCGTATTGCCTCGTTCGGCTAATATACACAAACTAATTACTAAGACAATATTACGAATTGATACTATGAAGGAAATATCTTGCAAGACTTATTGTTTAATAGTATGCTTAGTAGGCTATCTTTAAAACAAGGAACGGGGAATCGGGGAACGGGGAATGGGAACGGGGAATGGGAACGGGGAATGGGAACGGGGAATGGGAACAGGGAATGGGAACGGGGAATGGGAACGGGGAATGGGAACGGGGAATGGGAACGGAAGTGGGAACGGAAGTGGGAACGCGAACGGCAATCATAAAAAAAATTTTAAAAAACGAATAAGTTCTTTGCATGTTTGCATGGTGAAAAAAATATAATTTATACTTTGTAGGCCTCGATCACGGATCGAAAGCTTTGTGTATCTACAAAGTACAAATTACAAAAAACGAAAAAGCAGCTGAACTATACACATTCAACAAATTTATATCGTGCACACATTCTACTATGTTTAATTTATTATGATCTATGATAATTCATTGCTATTTTCGTAAATAGAATAAAGTTGAATTACAAGCACTGTTTATCGTTAGCCGCGAATGGCTCCCATCTTATATTCGGCTTTGTTTCAGCGGTATATCCCACAGAAACGGTCTTTTATTGTTAAAATAATCATACATGCAAAGTGCCATCTATTATACAGTAGAATCTCGCTATCTCGAATGAGAGGCGAAGATTATTCAAGTTAGCACATGTTCGGTTAACAGGGATTTCTGTTACTTTAAGCCATTGCGGTGCATTTTAATGGAATAACTCTTCGAGTTAGCAAAATTCTACTGTATCACGTTCTCAAGACATCTACTGTTCTAGGTGATGCGCATGCACAAAGCTATCACGTGCACACTTGTTTTTATATACTGAATGAGTTTCACCCTGAACAATTTTCAGACGATATGATTCTAAAAAATGCTGTTTTTGACCTGGACCAATATTATAATGAAATATATCAAAATTAGTGCTACAACCGAAAACTCGTGAAAACTAAAAAACTATTATGTGCTTTCAGTTATAAGAACTAAACTATGTTAATCAGGTCTCATTCCTGCTGTCAGATTATTGTTAATAGTTAATACTGCGGAAATACCAGTGTTGAATGCTATATAGCCTGATAATGAAGAGGTTGAATACCATGGAAAGTAAGCTTATCCGCCTTCCACTTATCTAAATTGTCAATCCAAACTCCGCGTTCAATCTCTCAACGTGTTCCTGTCGAAAATGTTGGCGAAAATTGGCAGGAACAACAAGGGCACTAGCTGGAAATTCCGGATACCGTGTTCTTATACATGCCATTCTGAGGTGAAAATGGACATTTTGGGGTTCTGCAGTGAAGCGGGTTTGCCCTGTTTCTCTTTCACGATATTGCCGATGATCTCGGTAAACTACGACAAGGTCATCAGGAATGGAGTGAGGAGGGTTCTCTATATCCCTGCCGCAACCATAGCAACGTGACACAGTGGTCCCTGGAACCCACTTTAATTTGAACAAGTTCCCTTGACTGGGAACGGTGGAAGGTGGAAAAAAACTTTGTTGCTGTACTAAGCGAGCACTAGCAGGAAGACTGGTACCTTGGTCATTTCTGTGCAAGGTTAGTTGAGGTGATGCTACTGAAGTTCGATTAACAGACAACAGTGGTTGTGAAGGTACGGTTGCTCCTGTTTGTTGCGACCAAACGACATTAGGCAGTTGTTGAGCGAAAGGCGGCGCTTGTCGGATCGAGCTGGCAGGGACATGTTGTTGGAACGGAACAGCAGATGACGTTATTTGACAGGGCATGAAAATTGATGGCTGTTGTAGGGGCATAGAAGGCGAAGGTTGTCGGAGGGATGCAGAATATAACGGTTGTTGACATGGCATGAAAATTGACGGCTGTTGGAGGGGCATAGAAAGTGAAGGTTGTTGGACACCTGCGGATGATAACTGTTGCTGGACGGGCAAGGAGGGCATTCCCTGAGTCGATAAGTCATTATCGTTGTCAGCAAACATGTCAACCGTCTCAATAACAAGAGCCTTTTTTTTTGTTGGTTCTCTTCCGCCGACTCGGCTTTTTCCCGGCGTTTTGGGGTCCGCTACCGAGAGCCATGTCCATAACTTTTGGACCTTTCTTGGCTCGTTTGAACCACTGGACAAAATCATCCAGTGACCCACGAACATGCGCCACCGCTATAACGTGCTCACAAATTCCTGTCGAAGCATTTATGCAACTTCTGTCACATTTCAATGATCCTCCTTTCCCTGGGGTAACGCTATGGGTTGTGTTGCCATAACCTGCAACAACATAAGACCCGTCAGAGGCTCCCGGTTTTGGTATTACGTTGTTTTGTGTTCTAGCAAGTTTGTCTGCCTTATCAAACAGGATTTGAAGGACCGACATTGGCATGGTTGAGATACCTGTCCGAGAGGCAGTCATTGAGATTACCGGTGTCGACGGAGTAGACGAATCATCACGGTCCTTGCGTTTACACTTTGAGAGATCTTTCTTGCAATCCATGCCACTGTTTACATACTTCTCAAGTCTGGATTTTCTTTCTTCGTGGCTTAGAGAACCCCACTGCTTTTCGTCAACAGCAAGATGTTGAAACTCAGGTCGTACCTCATATGGCCCCTTGCCAAACACCGCGCGATCTTCGTTGCGATATTGCGTCTCCACGATGTTTCGTATGTCGTCCACAAACTCGTGAGGTCGCTTTGCATCAAACTTTAGGGCATGCTTAATCATAAAATTTGCTGCTTCCGGGTCATTATTCGTGTACTCTCTTGGGGGATTTCCAAGACCGGCCTCAATTCGTATTGGCTTCAGCATCGACTCCTTGATTTGACTAGCCTAAAGACGTTAAAATAATTTAGTGTTATTCAAAAATATTCAATCGGAATATGATAAAAAGAGGATAGCCACCAGCTCTAACCCCACCCCGCAAAAATTGATATTGTCCTAATGAAATGATGTAGTATTGGACGGGGTATTAATTAGCTTTTTCGTATATCATGTTTTCGTATATCATTGCTATCTTGATATGTTTTAGGTTACTTACTACTACCTAAAATATAACAACTACTGTATACAACTGCGACATCAAGCACCGTGGTCAAGTATATTTTTCAAGCTTGCCTGGTGTGGATATACACTCAGAGTAACATCACAAGCATCATGTTCACCTGAGTACATTACACCAACACAGAAACATCAATAACATGTCATGTTTTTAAAGAAGTCAAATTGTTTGCAGGTCAAAAAGTAAATCCTCTAATTCTAATAAACCGGATAGACAAGAAAAAAATCGAAAAGTAAATTTGCGTTATTGCCCCCCCTGCGGCAATATTTTTTGGCGTTTCAGTTGTGCGTGTTTGATACACACGTACATGTACACGTACTGTAACAAAGTTAATTAAGTTTAAGGTGGCTCCCTACAGTTATTCTTGTTTAAGACAGGCTTATTCGTGCAGAACGCTAATTCTTTTCGACTTGGTGGCAATATTGGTCACCTAAGGAATATTTCGAACTAGATTTCGACAACGTCAATGTTCCCATGGCAACATGACGACAGCATAAAACCTTCCAATTTAACCCATAAATGTGCCGCTATCTCAAAAACGATGTCGGTGACCTATCTTTTTTATTTCATATATCAATAGGGAATGATGCTCTGCAACTGTGGTGAAAGTTTAAAAAAGTGATTTTTTTAAAAGCGAAAATTTTATTGCGAAATTTCCACACTAGAGATTTTTTTAAAAATTGAAATTTATAAAATTTACCGCAAAATAAATGTGTGGTTAAAATTTGAAGATAGGTCACCGATGAAACTAATGAGTAAAGTGCAAATAAAGTTAGAAAATAGCCTCGTGTAACTTGAGAAATTCCCCTATTGAAAAGCGTCGCTGACTAGTAAAAGATTGTACGCGGGCGCAGAACGAGTTTTCATTCAGCAAAATCGATCGGCAATGTTGTTTTTACTGTTTTGTTTTTGTCAACTTTTCGATTTATTTGAGTGCCATGGACAGCCAAGGATTATTGTGAAGGATCAAATCGATGAAAACAAGGTTGAAGCTAATTGAATCCTGCCGTTTACTCAATCTATGAGCTGTAACAGCCTATTAACAGGTGGACGTGTTTTTTTGTTTCATGTTTGGTTTTGTACTTTTTGCTAAAAATGAACAATTAGGCTATGAAACTGAAATATTTTTCTGTTTATATATAATCACTTTAACCTTGTAGAAACACGACTAAAAACGTGAACGTTTTCTTGAGAAGTAAACAACTTTTTAGCGTGGTCAATTTTTGTTTTGTTTTGATCATGCAGTTGCGTGGGATAGTTCACGTACTGGTCCCGCGAACATCCCGCACGCAACTGTAGGGAGCCTCCTTAAACCATTTAGATATTACGGAACATGTATGTAGAAATCGAGCCTTCCGTGTATTTGATTTATGGTGTGCAAAAACTTACACAAGCGTTTCGTGTTCGTGCGTACAAAAAAATGCTTTTTAAAAATTGCTTTGACAAGGCAAATATATAGATGCCTGCAGAACAGGCTAGGTTTCTGTAAAATAATCCACCCACCTTTTCTTTAAAAAACCATTCATAGAAAGTACCATCACGGTTAGAACCACCACATTGGGCTTCTCTGGTGTTCCACAATTCCTCCAAGTTCTCCAGTTTGTTTTGAAAATCGTCTTCGTCGTTGCTATCAACCAAACCCAACAATTTCACTTCTTCCTCTTGTTTCCCAAAAATCTTATTCAGAAAAACTTTCTTTTCTCTAGGTGGGATGTTTCGTCGCTCCAGCTCTCTCTTAATGTTATCTTTAAAGTGAATAAAACACCTCAAGAACAACGAAAATCGAAAGTTTCTCTTTAGGCCGTCGATTAAAGCCTTTTCTCCATCTGTGCCGCAAGCTAAGACTCCTTCGAGATCTGGACATTCAGCAATAAGCGAGTTTGCGAATCGTGAGTAGGTTTTCCAGTCCTTTCTTTGGTGCATAAGAAGTGGACCTATAAAAACTGGCGACTTCTTGGTTGCGTTGTGGTGCAACTTCAGGTTTCGAAACGTCGTCACAGTAAGGCTAATATTTTCATGGAAAATATTAAAGGTTGGGTCTACCCCAAGAACACAGAAATCGTTCCCATTTGTGCAAAAATGCTTCAGATCCTTCAGCTGGCGGTTACTGGCTAAAACACAGAGAAAGTCTGGGTGGACTCGGCATTCTCGAATAAAGGTAGATCCGCTACACTCCGCTTCTTCCCTTTTTGCTTTTTCCAACAGTTGCCATATACCGTCCACTTCGTTCATGTTTCCCATTTTAACTTCACGGTTTTGCTCCGACAGTGGGTCTGAGTTTGTCACGGATTTTGTGGACTTCTTTGCCGCAAATCTTGCATTATATACATCCTGCGGTCCCCGTGGAAGTTGTCCAAGACTTCTTGCTCCTGTCACGTCCCCAACAGAACGGTAAACATTGTCTAGTACTTCGTTCGGGTTCTCCGTTTTGCTGCCAACAGATACTTGCAGAGCATTTCTTGTGCTTTGAAACGTACGTCTATATGAATTGCCTTTTCTTGAATTTCCATGAGGTAAAGGTGTTTTAACTTCATGTTCATTATGCTTAAAGAGATATTGAACAAGTGTGTATCGCGATTCCACTTGATCACCTACATGAAAAACAACAGTTTGGCGTATGCTAATAAGCCTTATGATCTACAAAATCAAAACTAAGCTTGGGCCCTTTCTTTAATAAAATCTACACCAGTGAAAAAATGTATTACTTAAAAAATTATCGAACTGTTAGAAATCTATGAAACTAATAAACGAATTACACCGTTTTAGTCAACATGATAATTAATAGCCTTATACAAGCGCTTGTTTCGTCACACAATTAAAAACGTAGCAAATACATAGTTCAAATACAATATATAAAAAATGAAAATCCTATTTTGTGAGCGAAACAGTTTTAAGTTATTCCACACATAACAAGTAATCATCACTTACAAACATGCAATGTTAACCTACCTTCCAAAGAAGAAAGTATCTTCCTCACATCACTGCTGGATTTGTTCACGTAATACGTCCTTTTCACGACAAAGGCTTTTCCATTGTTTGCGCACTCCATGTCAGTGCTATGCAGAATAGATTTGATCTCTCCGTTTTTGTACGTAGCTGTCATTGACCTTTTCGGTGTACCAGTGTGAATCCATGCTCCCATGTCGTCGCACTTTAGATCGTCAATCTTTTTCATTTTGGCATTGTCCACCAAAAAGGACACGTTGTGGGAAACGTTGACTGGCGGCGCAATGCAAAGGCGTTCCGTTGCCTGGTCACAGATCAAAATCTTTGCAATTTCGTCTATGGAATATGCCTCGTTTCTTCGTTCATAAACAGGAGTTAATGCGTCACCTTTATAAAGTTCCATCTCTGGCTCCACATCTTCCTCAGTACTGGAATCGCTGTTAAAGATAACCAAGGGATTCATTAGCAGAAATAAGTGGCATTGTACAGAAAACTGAATTAGTGTTACAATTAATGTTACAACGTCTATTGAAATTGGTTTATAATTTTTTAGGCAACATTTTAAACCCAAATCATACAGTTTAGTTGCAACGATTCGCCTTCAACACAGCACAACTGAGCTTCAGATGACCTTATTAACACGCCGATTTGTCTCGCGATGCGATTGGGAGTCGACTGACGAATGAAGATCGGGGGGGGGGGCAGAAATGTTATGTAATTTTTGTGATTTTTTTATGTAGACTTAACTTACCTGCTTATGCAAATACTTTGGTGGATTGCTGTCACTTGCTGATTATTTTGGCCGTCACGTGATTCACATAGCCATGTTTCATCTTTGGTGCTCTGAGGAAAAACATTTCCATATAAGATTAAAGACCAATGAAGATGGCTTTGTTCAACTGCATGTTAAGAGCAAGGTCCAAGATCTTTATATTTGAATAAAAACCGATACCTGCGCTCACATATGCGTGAAAGACAAGTTCTGTATCTTTGTTCAGTACAAAGGATTACCAGGAATTGCCGTGGGACTTGTTAGACCTTATGAACTCGCGGGGCTTTATTAGTTCTAATACACCTGGCATGACCTCATGATAGGTGTATTAGTTATTAATTGAAACTGTAAAGACAAAAGAAATTCAGGCAACCATGGTATTACTGAGTTTATTCACCCCAGTTCACGGGGCTGGCCCGGTCCATGTAATTGTAGTCGTCTCGCTTTACCAAAAAGCAACAATACCTCATGATGTTCAACGGAATCTTCTAACTCACTGGTATTTTCGTATGGATCCGTTTCTTTTGTGACATCATTCTGATCGCAATCTAAAGTTTTTGGGCAGGATATTTTAGTCTTTGTTGTATGTTTCATTGGAGAATAAAAAGTTTTTAAAAGAGTTTTTGTAAAAGTAAATGACAACAAACAAACAAACAACCTAATCGTGATTAATACAGACATTATGATTAGAAAACGTAACGAAAATCTCAAATTTCTTAGCATTTGTTCTGCTGCCTATCTACGTGGATGCATTATACTTTTGGATAATAAGGTATACAGCTATGTCAATTAATTTAAGGTTGTCTCCGAGCAAAGCAGAAAAGTCGAATACAAGCGGAAAGCTTGCTGGGAGTGACGATTAAAAATACACAAACAGAACAAAATTTAGTTGCTATAGAGATACGTACTCGCGATTTATATTCATGAAAAAGCAAGATCTAATTTTAAACTTAGTGGAAAACCTATGAATCAATGGTAATGTATTCGAGAATAAAAGTAGTCTTTCCCGACAGTCTTTCGCGCTCATATTCGACCTTTTCTTCTTGTCTTCGGGACAACCTTAATTGAAATCGCTGTTATTCATTGACAATCTCTTTGCTCTGTTGTTTTAATAGGTTTTTTTGCACTTCAACATATACTGGGCTGGACTGTTAGAAGTTGTGAAATTTAATGCAGTATGCTCCTTGTAGAATGGCGTGACAATAAACGGCGATTTTGGTTTGTAGAAGCACCAAGTTAACTTACTGATCATGCAATAGCTCCGATAAAGATCGGGCATACGGATCGAAGGCTTTGCTATAATAAATTTACTTGAAGTTTGCACAAACCAAAACTTGTTATAGCTTTGAAATCTACTTATGCTACACGTGCACAAAACAACAACTTGTTCCCAATTAACAGAGGGCTTTAGCAAACACAACACGACGTCGACAAGGATACTGCATTTCTATATATGGATGTGTCACGCCTATCGACAGGCCCCGAATATACACCTCACGAACAAGTTATAAACAACGTTGTTACGGGTGTTACAGCCGACAACTTGTTGACAACTTGTTCACGTGGTGTATTATATGTATCATACCTAGATGCAAGACTTCAATAAACCATGCCAAACTCTGTGGTGTTTTTGGATCCACGCCACTCATTTTGAGTCTCTTCAGAATCCACTGGCTAATCAATCGACAAGAACGAGGACTCCTGTCGTGCGTTGCCACCATGATCCCATTGCCATTGCCACCTAACTCAGCATTGATTGGGTGTGTATCCAAAATAACGATATGGTGATTGTAAATCCCTATCATGAAAGCATAGGGAGGGCATGTGTATACACCAACCTTCCTTCTGATGTCTGATGGAATAGTACACAGAGAAGACAATAGTTCATTCCTTCCACTCTCTGAAAACACGCCACTGCCGGACACACATTCTTCAGATAACTGGTACTTTGTCGATAACATACCATTTGACTCAAGAATATCCTTAGCCTTAGATAGTTCATACTTCTCAGAAATGTTTCTAAGACAATTTATCTTCTTTGGAAGTGTTTTTATCAGGTCCTCAGCCAGTTCTGTGACGTGAGTCAAAGATTCATTTCGGTCAGAATTAGGTCTTTGACAGTCCAACAACGCGTCACACATAGCAATCGCAAGGAATGTGCATGCATTGGTTCCATCATTTACACGTAGACTTTGTTCATCCAATTCTGCTTGGAGCGTCGAAGTTTGCAACTGTTGAGCAAGAGTTGCGTTTACGTTTTCTATAGCAGAACTCTGGCTAATACTCAGTGGTTTAATTATTAGAGAGGCTTCTGGGTCTTCAATGTTGACTATTTTAAGAACATCTGATATGACAGGCCGGGATTCGGGTAAAAACTTAGCACACATGGAGAAGACTTCTTCCACTTGCCACCATTCAGTAACACGAAGTGACTCATATTTAGTATCATGGGCAGGAAGCTGTTGAGCTTGCATAAGTTTTTTCATTGTTTCCATGTTAAATTCGATGCCCAACAGTTCCGCCTCTTTGCGATAAGGGTTGGTCAGATTTGGGTTCACCATTGAAAATGCCAACAAACCTAGCGACCAAATGTCCGTCTTCTTTAAGTCATCCTGGGAAGCCTTTCCTAATAAACCAGTATGTATTTCTGGAGCCATGTATACTGGAGTGCCACGGCATATATCGTCAGTGCGCGTTTGTAAAACGGATCCTGTTTGTGTATCAAGAGATCTGCTTAGCCCGAAATCAGCAACCTTGCAAACAATAGGGCAGCGTTCGTATTCTTTTGCGAACGATGATTTATCTGAGTTGCAATAATGCTGGTTTGAAACTAAAACATTACTGGGTTTCAAATCGCGATGGGCAATTTCCATTTGGTGAAGAAAATTTAGTCCTGTAACCACATCCCTTATACACACTGGAAGGACATCGGCAAAGCTATTAAAATCAAACTCACAATCGACAAAATGATAAAAATCTTCCAAACTGCTTACCGACTTCTCGAGGCCCAAGCGCGCAAAGTCGAACGCGACGTATTCCATCATCAAGCTATATGGTGCATCAGAAAATCCCATGAAACTTGGTATGTTTTGGTGTTTAATGGAATGCAGCATCTCTGCTTCCTTTATGAAGCGGCGTTTGGCCTCGTTCGATTCTCCCCGTAGTTTCTTTATCACCACTTTTTTCTCTTCTGAGCCATGGACGTATTTTGCAGAATGAACTGAGCCAAAGTTACCAACACCAAGTTCGTGCAGATCGTTGACATTTTCCCAATTGAAATGAGGTAGCCCGTGACTTATTTTCCGCTTCTTTGCAAGACTTAGAGTCGGAAACTTAAAACTCCTCGATATCCCGGACATTGTAGCACTAACAATTTATATGCGTTAGCCACGCATGGTCTAACAAGTTCAATGATTTACTCTTTATAATATTTTTTTATTTAAGAGAAAAGCGATTGCAACACGTGAAATGTTAACCGCTTATAATGCCAAATAGTTTTGATAATAGGCAACAGTTTGGCAAGCGTAACCCGATACGAAGGTTAACACTTTTACTCACAAATTCACAACACTTTTGAAGACGCCATGGCTGGCGTCGTTTCCGCAAAGGCATAAAGGCATGACATTGTGTAATTCAATATATCGCGCACGCACTGCACTAATACATATTCCATACAGCTGATTAGGTTATATGAACGAGAAAAAACAATTAGTATAGGTTATTTTGAGGCAACGAGGGGATATGTGATTTAGGTGAATAAACACATATCCCCAAGGTGCCTCAAAATAACGTACTTATTTTTCACATTGCGAGGTTGCGTTAGTGATTCAGAATAGAAGTAATTCTCAATGCCAAATTGCCTTCGTGATGTTGTTTTTTCTCATTTTTTGTGCTGCAAAGACATTGCAGGTGAATATTAGAGGGGATTATTAATTGCAGGTGAATATTAGAGGGGATTATTAATTGCAGGTGAATATTAGAGGGGATTATTAAACGGAAATTGAAAATAATTGGATTATTAAATAGAAAATTTCATGTTACTTTGTAATATTATGCTTGCCGAAATTCCTTCAAACGGGGTTGTATTAGTTTTAATACACCTAGCATGACGTGATACTAGGTTTAATTCAAACCGCAAATCAAAAGAAATTCAGGCAACCATGATATTACCGTAGTTAAGCTAGGTAATGTTAGTCAATTTCATTAAAACGCTCCGCAATGGTTGAGAACTGTGACAAATTTCCAAACCATACTATTAAAATAACAAACGAAATCCATCAGACCAACACAAATATGTGCTAACTTAAACAATCTTCGCCTCCCATTCGAGGTAGCGAGGTTCTATTGTAGTATTGTACAGGGTGTCCCAAAAAACCCCGAAAACCATTGAAATCACTTATTGTTAAAATTGAATGCCCTACTAAAAAGCTGAACGTAATGATGCGTAAAATATTGACAAGGTGCGTGTATTAAAATTTAGTTAAGAACATCTCCTTGTAAAGTGCACAATTTTTTGCTCTTGGGAATTTAAAGCAGCTTCTTAAATAGTTTCTTTATGCATAAAATGTACTGATGTCAATAATTTATGCACTCGTGGGAACCTACAGAGTGCTAAGGCATTCAAATTCTAACAATTAAATTGTTATTAGTGATTTCAATAGTTTTCGTTTTTTTGGAACACCCTGTATATTAGATGGCACTTTGCATGTATGATTCTTTTAGCAATATTATAAAAGACCGTTTCTGTGTGCTGATATATATATGCATGTGTGGGATATACCGCTGAAACAAAGCCGAATATATATAAGATGGGAGCCATTCGCGGCTAACGATAAACAGTGCTTGTAATTCAACTTTATTCTATTTACGAAAATAGCAATGAATTATCATAGATCATAATAAATTAAACATAGTAGAATGTGTGCACGATATAAATTTGTTGAATGTGTATAGTTCAGCTGCTTTTTCGTTTTTTGTAATTTGTACTTTGTACATACACAAAGCTTTCGATCCGTGATCGAGGCCTACAGAGTATAAATTATATTTTTTTCACCATGCAAACATGCAAAGAACTTATTCGTTTTTTAAAATGTTTTTTATGATTGCCGTTCGCGTTCCCACTTCCGTTCCCATTCCCCGTTCCCATTCCCCGTTCCCATTCCCCGTTCCCATTCCCCGTTCCCATTCCCCGTTCCCATTCCCCGTTCCCATTCCCCATTCCCATTCCCCGTTCCCATTCCCATTCCCGGTTCCCATTCCCCGATTCCCCGTTCCTTGTTTTAAAGATAGCCATTTTGATTTGTATTGCGCTCGCATGATTCTTCTCAGGATTACAGTTTAGTACGAGCTTATTTACATGCAGTATGTTGATTTTAACGATGCAAAGGATCGACAATATTTTCAATAATTCAGGTAATTCGATTTCAGTTTAATACCTTGTTATTTACATGCAGTATGTTGGATTTTCACGATGCAAACGATCGACAATATTTTGAATATTTCCGGTAAGGATAGCTTTATTTCTTTCTGAATTCTGGTGATATACATGAAGACATTTATATTTAGATTTGTTGTTTAGTGTTCGATATAGAGGCATTGAAACAAATATGATTTCATGAATTTGCAGTTCTAATAAGCCCACTGATTGTCTTTATAATATATTCATACAAGGAGTCAAGATGTACTTTTTGTTTATCTATTTGTGTGGCGAATGGCGATGTGCCAAGGACGCATTTATATTTAGATTTGCTGTTATGTGTTCGATATAGAGGCATTGAAACCAATATGATTTCATCAATTTGCAGTTCTAATAAGCCCACTGATTGTCTTATATTATACAAGGACTTGTAATATTCCCTGGTGCTGTAGAGAGTGTTGTGGAGTTATGGTGCACTCAAATGTGTGTATGGCTTTGTGTATACAGTAGTGCGAGTAGATACAGGTTTATACAATCATTGTGTAATGTGCTTCACTGTTGTTTTATATCCACGGCGAACATCTATTGTATGGTTCTCATTAGTAACAACCGGTGTCTCATATTACATCACAAAGCTTTTTGCGCGGATTATATTTCGCACATTACTAAAATTCGCGCAACCCAGCGCTGCGCGAATTCTAGTACTGCCCAAATTTTTATGTAAGTAAGGTATATGAAATTGTAGCAACAAGTCATCTGATGCAAGTTTTTTATGATTTATATCCAGGTTTATTAGCATAGCATGACCAGTTGCCGTGGCTAGCTTGCCACTGAATACTGTACAATAACATATTGCCATATATATCAACAATGATATCATAATACGTGAATAAATCATTGGACATGTAGAGTATTTTGAGCATATTTATGATTGAATTGGATGAAAACTCGCGGAATTATCCAGCGATAAAAGTTCGTGTATAGTACTGATCCCCGAGCCGGCGGCGCGAAGCGCCGTGCGAGGGTACTAATTCCCCCCGGCTATTTACACCCGGGGAAACGAAAGCATTAGCGGAGTCTAAAGTTCATCAAATATCGCGGGCGCCATGGTTCACCGTTCATGGGTGGTCATCCTCACTGATCTCAAAATATAGCGGACTGTCGTGAATAGCGAACACTGATTGGTCAAATTTAAAATTTGTTGTTGTGAGATGAACTGACGACTTCAACTGACAGATACTTCATGAAAATAATTTGCTTTTTGCACTGCAGTATTTTGTACGTTTGCAAAAAACTTTGACAGCTTTCAAAGCAATTTGCTCTATAAAGAGTTTAATAAAACAATTATGGCATCAAATACCAATTGAAAAGATATGGACTACTGTATGGAGCCAAATGAAGAGCGGCAAGGAAACGACAAGAAAGCCGAACGTCTCGCGAAAAGGAGGGAGCCAGCGAAGACGACAACGTTTGCTCGAGGAGACTGCTGAGGAAAGAGAAGCCCGCCTGGGAAAGCGTAGAGAAGCATGGAAAAAAAGACTGCTGAAGCGAAAGGTATTAAAGCAAAGGCTTGTATTCACAACGCTATATACCAATGATACTGTAGCTATACAAGTTTAAGTATAATATTCGACACTCTATATTCGACTATTTCTTCACAATTTTCCAATAAAGAGTTTGTCATGACACGCTCAAGTCAGTATAACCAGACTGTATTTTATTTATATCAGTTATCAAATACCGTCGGTGGCAACTAAGGGTGAACAGTTGCAGATAAAACATTCTCTATTCTCATTAAAAACCTGTAAAAGTTTCCAGTAGGTCTCTAGCCCAACAAGTTCAGACAAAGTTTTGTTACTTATTTTTATTGCACACATGGGAAACAACAATTAAGTGTTGTTGTTCTTGACAAACATTGAAGATTCTAATCACGCGAATGTTTTTATGAGCGACTGTTCATCGTTAGTTGCAAACGACGGTACAACATACTATGAACATTTTTCCGACTGTGACCGAATGTGTAACGATATATTTTTCAAAGTTGTTAACAATTCCTAAAATTTGTTTATAGTAAAACAGCCTGCTCAGCACTCACTACTCACGATGATTTCATTTAGAAATGCAGTTACCAGGAAAGGAACTGATTCTAAAATATGTAAAATTAAAAGCATTGGCTATTACGATGTGAAGACAAGGTACAAGCTTTTATAGTTGCTATTTGTTATAAATCCTATAAATAAACCGATTCAACAATAATTTTGCCTCGAATTTGCATATTCTATGCTGCATGTTTATATTTTATTTTTATAGTATAAAAATAAAATTGTAATACTATGAAATAAAATACATTTCTGTTTATTGACCAGTACTTATTTAATGTCTACTTCATGCAGCGGTCAGAGTAAATTTCTACTTCTAGCAAGTAAATATTTGACAAGCAGTCTGGAATAAGCACAGGACTTTTAATGCATCAGCCAAATCCAAGTGTGCCCATCCCCCTCGCCTAGCCATTTTCCTGTAAAGCACATCCCGGGGGTTGGGCATTTCCACTCGAACCTTAGCCCCGGCAGGGCATTTGAAATTAATAATTTGGATTCTTGCACTTAATTCACTTGTGGAATTAATATTAGAATGTTAGGGTTTGTAATCCAAGTGAGAATATATACATGTATATATTTTGTAATCCAAGTGAGAATATTTTGTAATCCAAGTGAGAATATACAAATGTACCGGTATAGTACATGTATATATTTGGTGTATATATTTTGTAATCCAAATGAGAATAGTTTGTAATCCAAACTAGTGAGAATATGCAAATGTATATATTCTCACTTGGATTACAAACCCTAACATTCTAATATTAAGTCCACCAAGTGATTCGTGCAAGAATCCAAATTATTGAAGTCCACCTTATCATAACCCGGACACCCGATTACATAAATATACATGAACTTACGGTTAAAGCTCAACAGCTGGCCTCTGTAGCTCAGTTGGTTAGAGCGCTGCACCGGAATCGCAGGGCCGTAGGTTCAATTCCTACCAGAGGACCTTGTGCTGCATTTTTCGCAGTCGTTCCTGGTTAGGTCTTAAAATGTATATATTCTCACTTAAAGTGTATATATTACAAACCCTAACATTCTAACCCTAACATTCTAACATTTGAAATTAAGGATTTGGAGGTTTTGCGATCACCGACAACTTGATAATTTTATAAAACAAAACACTTCTATCTCCAACTTTTACAATCACTGATAAATTGATAATAATTTAAACCAGTCTAGCTGTAGTTTAAATGGAGAATAATACATGGGTGCACGAAATACCAGATTTATTTCGAGTGTTGAACATGAGTGTGCAGCGAACAAGTGAGCGCAGCGAACGAGTGAGATGTCATGTTCAACACAAAAAATAAATCTGGTATTTCCAACCACCCATGTATTTTTCTGTTTATTATATAAAGGACAGTCTTAAATGAAAAGCGATAATGTTTACAGGAAAGCGATAATTGAAAAGGCGATAAATTTTTACATGTGAGATTATCATGAATAATTTCACATCTGAGATTATCATTTTTGTCAGTGCTCGAAAACTCTGCAAAACACTATACTTTATATAATAAAAATTCATAAATTTGAACCATGCTAGAGCATGACAACAGCAAAATGCTCTATAGTATGATGCACAATATTTTGGGAGGTGATCGAAATACACGAACAATAAATCAGAGAGTGTTTGCTTGGAACTCACTGGGGGGGGGGGGGGGGGGTGCAACACCCCTGATTATTGCTCATGATGAATTTCAGGTAGATTTCCAGTGCACTTTTAGTACCTACATTTAAGTAGATTTGCAGAAGATTTTCAGGGGAATTCAGGTAATTCTCAGGACATGACTGAGAAAGTGAATTTGGAAAACAACTGTATTAAATTTCGGAAAAATTATTATATGTCCTGAAAAATTTTTGTACATCTGGAAACTTTTTGGTAACCCCCCCCCTCTATCTAACCCCCCCCCCCCTGCGACGAAGTGCTCGCAACGGCACTGAGTATATATCTTTTGAAAACAGGCGAGGGGTTATTGCATGCATGTATTTCTAGTAAATTATTGAAATATTCAACTGGGCACCTCGCGGAGCACGATTGAGATATTCTCGCAGACGGCAACATTATGATTGACGCTATTTTGCCCGATTTGACTACAATACGAACTTGATCTTCTCGCGTCCGCTAGTGAGATTAAAACGATTTTAATAATTCAAAACTGCATTTTATAAAGAACACGAGAGTGCTGTGGCCGTGGCCGCCTTGGCCATGGGTTCTAATTTGCACGCGCATGCGTAAAGATTGCACATTTCTATTCTTTATCGTCACGTGGCATTTGAACGCATTGGCGCATTCCTACCCAGTGCTTCCATTTTCAAGGATATTTCCTTTTCTAAGGAAATTCTATGGTCGAAAAGGAAAATCTAAGGAAGAGAAAAAATCTAAGGAAATCTAAGGATTTTTCCGAAAAACTTAGATATTCATCCAAGTGCATTGGTGCAGAAGAAGGTTTCACCATTTTTTTTTATTATTGAGTGAATTATCAATTACGTTTAATTAATATTCTGTTTATAACTTTTTCTTCATGTCTCCGAAAACATACGAAAGTTTTTGAGCGATGGGATTTAGTAACTTTTGGCGCCAAACACTTTGAATAGTTAATTAATTATATCAGTGGAAATATATATGTTGTAAACTCATAACAAATATTTAATATTTAAATAGTATAATAGCCTGTGATTTTTAGCTAGCCCACATCTGTGTGAATTGTCCTATTTTTTGCCTTTAAAATTAATTAAATCCTTTGTATTGCTACAAAATGACCAAAATCACTGCAAACTGCTTAATAAAATTTCAAGGAAATTTCAAGGAAATAACGTATTCAATCTAAGGAATTTAGAGAAAATTTGATGACAAAAATGGGAAATTTTGATTTTGAAAATGGAAGCACTGTGTCGAGTACAAAAACAGACTTAGATTGAGCGATCAGGACGCCAAGAAGACGTGTAAAATGTTTTTAATTGAAACATCGCCTAGATAGATGATTTTCTTCGATAAATCTGAAGTGAAATAGGATGTTCACTCGAAATAGACATGGTAAAAACCACAACCAAATATTGACAGTATTTATAAAGTTTGTTTATATCCGGGTTTATATACACCTAAAATTGTGACTATAAAAATAGCTGAAGTGAACTTGTAGCTTTAATATTTTGTTTTAATATTGTGTTTTATGATTGTTCACAATTCACAAAAATGATTTTGAAATAAATTTGGTCGTTAAATACTCAAATTTCGTGATGCTGTCGTGATATATGTTTGCAAATAGTTATGTTAGTTTGTGATTTTTGTGATGGCGCCTGGTGGTTTACAATCTGTTCGCGATGCTTTAATTCTTGCCAGACACGAGCAGTGTATTTCTGATACCGAATTTGTTTTGCTGTTCGAGTATAACTTGTCCAAACCTTTATTCCCATACTGGAAATTTGAATTGTTTGATCTGGATTCTTGGGATGATGAAGAATGCAAGATCGAGCGGAGATTTGCCAAGTCAGACCTAGCTTTGTAACAGCGTTTGCCCGGAATTCCTGAAAAGATTACATGTCAGCAAGGAAGTATATGTTCTGTACGGTGGCCCAGAAGGGACAACACCATTCATAAATTGAAATGTGGCAATCAAAGCAAATTCACAACAAACTAAGCATAATCACTGCAAACACAAAGGTAAATACTACCTTAAATACTAGCGCAAACAAAATATTCACTGCAAGCAAAATATAAACGGCACGTTGCAAACAAAAGTAAACTGCGTACTGCAAACAAAATATAAACTGCACGTTGCAAACAAAATATAAACGGCACGCTGCAAACAAAATATAATCGGCACGCTGCAAACAAAATATAAACGGCACACTGCAAACAAAATATAAACTGCACACTGCAAACAAAATATAAACGGCACGTTGCAAACAAAATATAAACGGCACGCTGCAAACAAAATATAATCGACACGCTGCAAACAAAATATAAACGGCACAGTACACTGCAAACAAAATATAAACTGCACACTGCAAACAAAATATAAACTGCACACTGCAAACAAAATATAAACTGCACGCTGCAAACAAAATATAAACGGTACGCTGCAAACAAAATATAAACGGCACGCTACAAACAAAAACTGCACGCTGCAAACAAAAGTTAAAACCGTGCGCGCGCATATGACCGTGGAGGCATGGCACTGAACTTGACGAAAAAAGCAATATGGCGTCGAGTTCGAGCGAAGATTCTGAGGGCGAAACATCTATTCACGGCGAATTACCACAGGGGTCTGAAAGAGAATTGATCGAATACTACTTTAACCGGGGATTGCCTTACAAGCATATTACTTTGATGTTAGAAAAACAGCACAATATTGCAATGAATGAAAGAACCTTGAAGCGTAGACTCAAGGATTATGGTTGCTCAAGACGTCATGAAGTGGACGACCAACTGAGAAGACGGGTTAGAGATATAATTTTGCTCGAAATCAGAAATGGTCCTGATAGTTTAAACGGCTACAGGACAATGTGGCACATTCTAAGAATTAGGCACCATATTAATTTTCCAAGACATATAGTGCAGACAATTTTAAAGGAAGTTGATCGCCAAGGGACAGAGAATAGAAAGCGAAGATGTCTCAAGCGTAGAACATACGTTTCGCCAGGGCCCAACTTCTGCTGGCACATAGATTGCTATGACAAACTGAAGCCATTTGGTTTTTTAATACATGGATGTGTTGATGGATTCAGCAGAAGGATTATCTGGTTGGAACTTATGAGATCCAATAAAAATCCACGTTTCGTTGCAAAGCATTTTTTAAACCATGTGAAAGCTGCACGGGGTTGTCCAACACGTGTGTACACTGATCCTGGGACTGAAAATGGGATAATTGCAGGAATGCAATCCTATTTTCGTGCTGAAGGATCAGATGAATATGCAGGGTCAAATGCCCACAAGTAATGTAACGAGCACACGTAATCAAAGAACGAATGTCAGTGGTCACACGTCAGGAAACAGCGTTCAAGTTGGTGGATTGATTTCTTTCATGACTGGCTCAACGAGTCTGATCTTCTTGATCTCACGAATGAAATACATAGAGAAGCATTGTGGTTTTGTTTTGCAGATTTATTACAAGCTGATCTCGATAAAGTCAAAGATTATTGGAACTCCCACCGCATCAGAAAGTCAAAACACGCAATAATTTCCGGTGTTCCGGACATGATGTATTTCCTGCCGGAGGAAAGGAAAAATACTCACTGTTTGGTCACAAAAAACAATCACTGGAAAAACAATCACTGTTTGGTCACAGTGATTGTTTGCACCCAGTTTCGGCAGAAAAAGTAACAGAGAT